GTATATAAAAACATAAGCCACGCAACCTCATGGCAATCAGATGCCTTTGCCCGTGCCTTGTGAACAGGATTGCAGCTGCTTGCGTGCGGAGGATGAAGAGCCTTCCCAAGGCGTTCTCACGTATCTGCTCCCTAACCCATCACCTTCCACTGGGACCAGCCTCCCTTCTGAGCAATGTTCCGGGGCGAGGAGTAAGGCAGGCGACACAGGAAATCTATTCACTGAAAAGCAATAAACCCTTTTCCAAAAATCATTTCTTAAAAACCGAATCTTTGGGCGAAAACATTTCACTTTGATCTACGGATTTCACCCGTCAGCAGTGATGTAATCTGATCCTTTGTAATCGAACCTAATCCAAAATTGCCCATGCTCACGTCCAGAGACCTTCGTTAACTCTCCCTTTCCTACTTTACGCATCAATCCTGCACTATGGGAGTGGAGTCGTTTCTGATTTACAATCCAGAGTATCAGCGTGCTCTGAGCTCACACAGCAGAGGCAGCTGAGGCGGCATCGCAAGCCGTGTCTAACAACCCCAGGGTCTGTGTGGTAGGAACCATGAGGAGACAGTAAAGGCAGGAAGAATGTAACCAGGGTGTTTACATTGCGTCTACACTCAGATTTTCCTTCGGATCCAGTGAATAAACTGCTTCCAGCAAGTACTTAAGGAATGTCCTACACCCTTGAATTTGTGTCATAAAATTTATGGTTGAGGCAGAATAAAGAGCTGGTTGCTAAAAAACACTTTGTTGAGGTGAAGTGGTTGTCAGGCGTGCTGATGTGCACAGTGTGGTATGTTAACCATCTCAAGGCTGGGCTCGTACAACTCGTCACCCAAACCTTAGGTGGACGTGCTCTCAAACACGGGGCGGCCATGGCAGATGACCTCAAAGGATTGTATCTGCCGGTCACTTTAAAGATGTTTGCTTTACATCAAACTCATTACTACCTAGGGTAAAAATCGCAACATCTTCAGGTCTAATGTTCTTTATGGGAGGAAAGGCTTCATAAACGCTTTGCCATCAATATTTATTGTTCTGAGCTTTAATACTGGACATCTTTGGCTCAAAATCTGTGAATTTGGTTACAAAACTCGAATCCAAACTTGAGTGTGCTCCCTGTCAAACAAAAGCCCAACGAAACTGGAACACAGCCACCATACATACTCGAGTACAAGCCAAGTTCAACACATTTTTAAGGCAGTGTTTGTGGTAAAATCAGGTGCCTCGGCTGATATTCAGGTCACCTTATACTCGAGTATATACGGTACGTTAGCTTCTCATGCTAATGCTTTCCAAAGATCATAATCTGTTTTCCTCAGAAGCATCCCTGATAGTCATTACTATTTTTGTGAATTGTGAGATGTTTCAACGTGCAACCATTGACTAGAACCTCAATACCTGTGGGGAGAAGTCAGACACTTGCTGCCAGACTGCTCTCATCCCACAGCAGGGCTGGGCCTACTCCCTGCTGCTGGAGACAATAGACTACCTCTCTCTGGAACCTGGGGCCATTAGTTTGGTTCCCGAGGGCGGAGTTTGCACCCTACTGATAATGGTTCCCATGGAGACCCAGAGACCACCCTCTCATTGCTGTGTAGCCTATAGTGCAACCCCTCCCTGTGATGTATGTCTCTACCTATAATTAGTGGGCTGGCTTGCCCCCAAAAAGTATATAGGTGTGAGTCAGCAGAACCTCTCCGACTCGGACCCTGAGCTCCTTGCTGCTCACTCCCCTCTCCCTTGTTCCCTTTCCCTCCTTCCCTTCCCCCTCTCCACGTGGACCACCAAGCTGGGCTGAGGTGAGCAATGTTGCTATGTATCATGCCTGACTGTATTATTGTATTATCTCTCATGCTCTCAATGACTTTAATATACTTATATATCTCAACCGTACAATTGTGCATTACTGAACCCAGAAGTAGTATTACTGAACCAGTGAATTCAAGCAGCGGGTGGGGGCTGGTTCCCTCACCCTCCGTCCGCCCAATTTTATTTAATACTACAAATACCCATCCTAACATGGCTTTTGCCCTTCTATTATGGCCCTAGGAAATTACTACACCCATCCTTTCCTCTACTAGAAATGCTTATTCTCACTGGATAAGGGATAGAACAAAGTGGAAAAAAAGGAAAAAATAAACTTGGGGGGGGGGGGGGGCGGGAGCATGGCAGAGCATTAAGGAAAGTAATCCTAAAACTCAAAAAAGGTTTGGGAAGAGAGTTCAATATTGGTGTACTTATGCGGTTCCCTCCAGAATCCTCCTTCCAGAAAAGGATGTAAGAGCCACATGCATTCTAGAATTCTTTGGAGCAGCAGTCATGTTAACATTAGAAAAGGGAAGGAATTTCAGTTAAATGTCAAATACACACAGCTACTCGTTTTCAAACTGATGTAGAACACTGCTAACTTATGAAATAACTTTTTAGGGCCATGCTAGGTCTCCCCTAGACATGTCAGCTCAAGCATTGATTTCCAGTATATTGCAGTTACCATCTAGCTATCCATTTATTGTTAATCCTAATCCCTATGAGGCAAACAAGCAAGCAGAGCCTCACTGCCAAGAGCAGGCCTGTAAGTACAGCAGTACGTGTGTTCCCTATACTGAGTCTCCAAGACTTAGAAGCCTGAAATCAAGATACCTCTTCATGGAAGACTGGGCTCCAAAATGTCAAAAGCAGACATGCAGAGAAAGCCCTCCCTAAGGGCTAGTACCCTGACTTCTAGCCCCTAAACTCTTTGAGAATTTCAGAAAGTTTATTTTTTTAGCACCACTAGATAGCTAACACCAGTAAACCATTTCCTTATAGGTTAAAAAGTTGTATCATAAATTATAGCTTTCCTTTCTAAACTATAATCTATTTTTAGTATTATTCCCAAAGCAAATTTTAGATGTTAAACTAAAAAAATAAACTATCAGCACTATACCCAGAGTATCCTAATAAAACTGTACACAAACTTTAAAACAATACTACTATATGGGAGCCCTCATGACCATGGGCTAACTGCAAGGTCAGCAGGTGGAAGCCACCAGCCACTCCACAAGACAAAGACAAAAGACAGAACGCTGTCTACTCCTGTTCAGTCTTTGGAACTCACAGGGCAGTTCTACTGCCCGATCACGTTCCTGAGTTGACATCAGGTGGATGGCACCGAGTTTGATTTTAGTGCACAAAGAATAGGATAGAACCTTAAGGTTTAAATGCCTATACGAAAGCAAATAGTCTTTTATGGATTCCACTTTTCGTGGTCTGTAACTATAATTTCTCGCCAGCCCTGTCATCCTTAAGGTGTAAAGTGCTCTGATCAGACTTCATCTGTTTTATGGGGTGTTATGGGGAGTCAACTAGCCGTGCATTATCCTAGTGTTTGGTTTTCAGTAGGTGTTGTGTTGTATAAATGTATTTCAGAACTGATGGTCGGAAAGTATCAGGGAGGAGAGCGCCCCTATCTTCCTCGTAAAACGTCTGATGAGCGCTGTCCCGGCAGACTGGGAGGCAAACGGCCATCACGAAGGAGGGGTCACTCGGAGGCTTGGGCTTGGAGGGTTTCCTGAAGAAGACAGTTAAGGACAAAGAACGCACAACAGTAAGGTTACATCAGTGAAGCCAGCACCACGGCATTACACAAATAAACTCTCGGGTCTTTCTACACTTCATCTTCCACCACGTTCCCTGGAGAACGCCAACGTTTCCACAGCGGAGCCCGACACCAGGGCGCTCCCGGGAGCCGAAGATGGCGAGACTTCACGGCACGTTCTTTGGACCTCGTATCAGGAGGGAGCAGTCCCTGGAGAACGACAGCAAACTTGATAGAGTAAGAGGGTTCAGCCAAACAGAGGAAGACACACAATGAGACGGGTTGGCACAGGGGCTCCAAGGGTCGACTCGACCACAGCAATGCGCGAGGACGCCGCCGCAGGACCGTACAGGGCTGGTTATGACAGACTCAACACCGAGCAGAAACATTTCCACACTCGATCCGACTTGTCCCCATACTCCAGGCATCCAATAGCACGATGAGATGACAAATGGATCAGAAATCAGACTCACAATTACATGGAAAGTTTTAAACATACAAAGGGAAATGCTTACTTTTATAGCTGAGGAATTTAAGTTTAGGGAGATCTCCAGTTATGTATAACTTGCTCCAAATCACAGGTAAGAATGAAGACAGGGTTGCAAACCCAGGAATCCATACCTCACAGTATTTTAATGTTCTAAAATGCCAAGGCTCTGTTAGAATCAATCCTAATGCTATTATTCTCTCACAACTTGTGACATTTTTCTTCCTACTTCAACTTTGATTTAAAGCAAAACGAATCCTAAACAGGAAATTGCTTTTAACTTGTAGCATTTTACCAAATTTTACACGTCTACAATCTTAATATACATACTGTCTATAAGCCGACCCGTATTATCAGCTGAGGCACCTAATTTTACCACAGAAACTGCAGAAAAAGTGTGCTGAAAAACTCGGCTTATACACAAGTATATATGCTACTTGTCCCAGTCATTAAGAGAAATTTTGAAGCATTTTCAAATGTAACTCTTTAAGAAAATATTTCTTAAAGTTCACAAAGCAAAAAACAAAGTCAAATTAACTGTAGTCATCAATATGTACATTTAAAAAAATGTTTTTAAAAACAATATACCCAAAGTACTATCACCAGAAATAAGCTCCTTGGGATTAGTCTCTCCCTTAATACTCTCTGCACAAGAGCTAATAATGCATAGCTTGTACTCAAATATTGGTTAGCTACACTTAATTAGCACAACCAAATAATCTGGCATAAATTTTATATCCAAATGTTTTCATGTTCAGAAAACAAGTTCAACTTATTTTGATTTGAGGTGGAAAAATGCAAAGCAACTGCATAGTTAAGTAGGTGGAAAAATACAGAGCAATTGCATAGCTAAGTAATCGGTGAGGTTGAGTTTCATTAGTGCAATTGTAACAGGATGCACTACTCTACATTGTAAGTCATTGAAAGAGAAAAAAATTAACATTAATGCAAATTTTATTCAGGAGAGTTAAATCTTAACACAGAAAAATTCTGCCAGTAATTCAGCCCACAGGAAAAGATGGAACTGGTACCATTCTTGATGCAGATAAATTCCATCTTTACACTTCTAAAGCAAGCCGTGTTGACTGAGAAAACCCTTCCTTAGCTTTTCCTAATAAGGCTATGTGAACTGAGATCAGAAACTTTTGACAACACACCAAACACACTCAGCCCCCTCCCCTGAGAAGTCCTTTCAAATATGGTTCAGTGCATAAGGTCCTCATTCCAGGCTAAGCACCTGTAAGCACCTGGGCTCCTGCCATGCTGCCGACTCAAGACCTGCTGCTCATTTCTTCACGAGTTTACTTTGAATTCCCTTCACAATGTTCTACCCATTATTATTTTTTTAAATACTGAAATCAATGTTGACATTACTTTTTAGCTTTCTCAGGTTATACTTTAATATTGAATGAACATGGTAGTTTCAAATATATATTTATTAAAAATATCTTGTCTTTTTATTTCCTGTTCAATGTGGTCCACATTTGGTAACAAATGTTCAGAGTTCTACTCCAAAATAAAATCCACTTTCTTCTTAAGCTGCTTGCTACAGGTCACATTCTATTCCATAATTCTGATTTTAGAAACCTGGGCTTTGTGATTTTTTTTTAAGCCAAGCAAAACAAAAAGGGAAATGCAGAATAATTCAGCCCTTGAGAAAAATCTTAATGGCAGTTACTCATTGAAGAAGTCAACCATTCCTGGGATCACACTAAAAAACCACAGTAAGTACTGACCAAGTCTTTGTTTTGTTGGTCGTTATTGCTTTACTCGGCAATATCTGACTTTAAGACAAAAGACCATCTCCAATTAAGTCTTATTTTAAATGGTGTAAACTTCGGATAGAAGACAGACTCACAGAGGCTATAAAGCTGATGGCGTCAGTAGCTCACCCATGAAACGGGTACATTGGGGAGAGGCTGCTGAAACGAACGCCTCTCCTTTTTAATGTTCCCATTTTAGTCAGAAACAAGCAGCTTGGCAGTTTTTCTCTTAAAAACCACTTTTCTTCACACACACACAAAAGAGAAAGGAAACCAATGAAAGACATACTTTTCACAGTTAACAATAAATAAAAGTGCAATAAGCATTCAAGTAGGTCCTGTAGTTTGAAAAAAACTACATTAAGTATTCTGCTTCTGGTCATCTCTTTAACGCTCTTCGAGGGTCCCTGCCGGTACTTATTGTGGTCACAACTGTGTGGTTATGGTCTGTTCCTGGTAGATGTGGATTTATTGGTCCCCGGCCATTACGTCTACCAGCATAGGAAAACTGAAAGCCCCGTGAATCAGGGCTGGCTTGAATACCATTTCCTAGAAGAGAACATAAAAATTCATCACTTTTTAGATACTAATCTACAGAAGTACACCTATTTGAAATTCTAGTATATGCTATTAATTAATACAAGTGTTAGGGAAAACAAACATCTTTGGTTTTAAATTTTTTAGTGGTAGGGAGGGGGGCCTTAATGTGGGTTCTAGGTTTTTCCAAATGTCTGATTACAATAAATGTCTTTTATTAATGTATTATTTTAAAAAGGTCAAATTAGGCAACAAAATCAAAATAGAGTAAAATTAAAATACAGACACGCACTGCCTGCACTAATATGGAAAAAAGGATAAAACAGTTGAGTCCTGCGATCGATTCAGCACTTAAAACTGATTGAAAAAGATGGCAGAGCTCCTCAAACAAGGTGATGGATCAGCTGTGCCAAAGAGGCAGCCATCACGTCAAATAAAATGTATGAGCCACTCTAGCCAGTCCATGCAGAAATTACTGCAGTTAAAGAATGAAGCCTTTAAAGGGCCTTTGACATGGCGGCAAGGTTTTTAACATGACACTTACAGAGGTGGCATCAGGGTGTGAAAATTAGGCAAGCAATTTGTCTGAAGATAAAATCTTTCAGCACAACCAAACCATCAGAAACACTATTATAAATAACCAAGATTACAGAATTAAAAAAAAAAAACTTCAAAGAAAACCAGTGATACCAACCCCGAGGCCCTCACTTGCATCACCCAAATGTTAGGCTCTCCATTATGAGCCAATGTTCCCCACACTAAGTCCATGAACCTCACGCAAATTTAAAAACATAGAATGTACTAAATAAAGGAGCTTTAAGGGTCATTTGCTTGCTAGAAAATGCAGTTATTTGGGAATTCCAGGATTACTAGTAGTTCCCTTTTAATACATTTTCTGTCGCATGCCCACTACACCTCTCAAGTTAACCAAAATACCAAGCTCAATGCTATGGCGTTGATTCTAGTTCATAGACTCTGCTCTTTGGGGTTTCGGAGACTTAAAATCTCTACGGGAGAAGGCAGCTTCATCTTTCTCCCTGAGCAGCTGGTGGGTTCGTTGTGGTTAGCAGCTCCGTGTGCAGCTCCTTTTCCTTTCTTCTTCTTCTTCTTTTTTTGGTATTATTCTTTACATCAGCTTACGTTCTTTACCATTTTATTGACATATATAAATCATTAGGTAGATACATCACAAAGTTGTGAAATCATTGCCACAAAGGGCTCCTTCTTCTCTCACACCTGATAGCAAATAATGCAAAAACACCTTACCCACTGGTCTGTGCGTACCTGTACCCGCATTACTATTCAAGAGATGATTCTTCTGTTCACTGTATGCCTTAAAAATATATTAAAAACAAAAACATTTAGCATGGCATCATATTTATAGCATTTAAAATAAAAATTTAAAAAAACCTTTTTTGTTAAAAGGATTTCTCGAAGTCCATTTAATACCCAGCAATGTTTCCCAACCCTTTCCTAGGAGCCACTGCAGATTACTCCCCTCTCCTCACAGTGCTACAGGAGAAAGGGGCCCACCATGATACGGACCACAGAACACACAGAACTTGAAATGTGTTAAAATAATCTTTTAAAACTTTCTTTAATACACTCTGGGAGTCCCAAAGATCTAGCCATAAATGGCTAGTCCCAATCTAGCCATAAAATTAGAATACAGTCAAAATTAGCCTACTTATAAAAATAAACTCCACATTTGGATTATTTACCCCTTGGTTCTGCTGTCCTCGATACTCTGGATTGGGTTCACTGAAATTTGGCAATTCTGAATACACCATACAAAATCTGAAAAGAAAATAAAGGGCAAGTTAAATAAACCCTTCCTTTGTATAACACATTTACGGGAATAAAGAATTTAGGAGTCAAATGAACTAAATAGAAAGTACTATGCCAATCAGCTCTTTGCAAATACCACGAAACTTCCTAAAGTGCTGATCTCCCATAAAAACATCTATTTCATCACCTATGATGCATAGGAAAGCATTCTATTGTGTATTGTGAGTCTTCTCTTGAACTGTAAAGTATAAATGTCAGAGATCAAGGGCACAGAAACACATCTTTGCCCTGTTTTTCCACACCGAGCCATATTGAGGGTCCCAGAGTGGGTTTCCCAGCAGTGGTGATGGCTTTACACAGACTCATCCACACTCCCAGCCAGTCCCTCTAATGGCCAATCACTGTGCATCTGCAAAGATAAGCATTCAAGGTTAAGAATGAATTCTACAGCTATGCATTAGTAGAGTTGGCTTATCAAACCAATAGCTAATCCAGGTTTTCCTTTTAGGACGAGTATGGTGCATACAAACATTACACAAAGCACAGCCATAGCTCCTCATCTGCTGAAAAAGAAGTGAAATCCAATTTTGAGAAACTATAGACTGATTCTGACAGAGAGCAGTCAGTAAGAATTGAATAGATCTTCACTTAGCTGTTTATTCAGAGACAACTGTGTTAAGTTTAAGTGGGAACAGGATCTGAAACCTTTCCATAATACTATTAAGACTTCTCATGTCTTGCTCTAATGATACTATCCTAAATACAAGCAAAAAGTTCACTGCCATCAAGTCACTACTAACTCATAGTGACCCCCACCGTGGGTTTCTGACACTGTTAACTCTTTATGGGAATAGAACGTCGTCTTTCTTCCCGGGAGCTGAACTGCCCAACTTGTGACCTCAACACCGGCAGGGCTCTGAGTCCTATTTTCCTTGTTACCAGTTTCTGCCCTTAAAAAGCTGGCATGATGGCTTATTCGTTTCCTTTCATTACCATCAGGTTCTGCTTGTTCTGAGGTCATTCGTCACTCCTTCAATATCCCCCAAATCTGATGGGTATTAGGTGGATGTCTGAACATTAACCAAATACATGAACAAATAATAGGGTTACTGCTGACATCACACTTTTGAGTACAACCCAAATGTCTATGCTTGCATGGAGGCTGCATTACCTTTACAGCCCTAGAGAGGAAGGTTCCTCCAGGTCAGGGTGGAGCTCAAAACAGGGCAGTAGTGTTTGGAAGCTTGCAGTGCGGCTGCCTGCACCAAACCTAGACTGTGGATAGATAGAGGACTTCAATTTTCATGGCTGCAAGTCCTTTGCAAATCACTCATACACAGGGAAAAAACGAAAATAGAACTGTATGGACTGGAAACTCACACTCAGTCCCTTTGTGGCTGGTCAATGGTAGAGAACCTGATTTGAATAGCACCTGTGACCTTCATGCATGTTCCTGCACTTATGGGAACAGTTCCCTTGGAACTGGTCTAAGTGCAGCTTTTTACTGCTTTCTATTAGGAAAATCTCACACCCTCAAGCAAAGGAAACTATACTGACAGTTGTTAAACTAGTATACATGTGAATTTTTTTCCCCAGTTAAATAGCCAAAGGCATTACGTTTACCTGTCCCCCTAAAAACACAAAGCTAAAGAAAGTATAGTTACACTTACCTGCTACCCTGTTAGATATTTTAGTTATACAAAAACACTTTAATACTTACTCTCCAATTTTTTGAAGTTCACCACCCCTTCCGGTATACAGTGTCAGGCACCCTTTCCACATGGATGCGTACCTAGAACAAAAACAAGAATTTTTTTAGAGCGGTCTGTTGCCTTCTACTTACACCACAGTAATCCTTAACTTATACTGTGTTGTTTGTTTTGCTGGGGTGGAGATGTGTATCAAGGCCTGCCTGTCTATCAAACAGAACAAATCTAATTTTGCCCAACTTACTACTTACAAAGAAATAAGTGAAAAAATGTTTTAATTAAAAAAACTTGAAAATGCAGTTTTAAGTTAACCATCTAATTTGTACAAATTATCTTCAGCCACAGGATACATGAAGCCAACATTAAATCCTCATCTTTACATTCACTCATTTACTTGGTCAGGTCGGATGCTAGTGTTGGTTTCTCTCCTCTGCACCCATTTAAAAAAAAAACAAAAACACAGTTCCCCAACGACTACAAGGCTTGAGTAGAAATTAATCAAGGTGCTAAACAAAGGTCACTTTTTTAACTTGTTTTCTCAATTTTGCAATTTTTAGCCCCAACTTGGCTGAACAATTGTATACTCTGAATGATTTTGAATTCTGATAGCCTTAATACATTAAAGAATCCTATCTAAGAAAAATGTTTAATTTTATAATCAAAATTATAAAAATTCAGTCCAGATTTGGTTTGCAATGGTTCATTTTAATGACTATGGTAGCTTCATGACTTGACAATGGCACATTTTTAACTGAATTATCAGTTAACCAAATAGAGTAATAGTTGATCTCTTTCAAAGAGATTTCCATACTCTGTAGGTCTCATCATCACAATAAGGGGCATTTATTAAAGACTTCATACACCACTCTTACACAAAAGGTGACACAGGAAGAGTAGATTAAGGGTTCATCCCTTACTAAGGTAAAATTGCCAGGTATGCCTTTGCTCAAAAGTTATTTTCTTATATTTAATCAGAATTTAAGAGCTTGTAACACAATGGGCCAGGTCCTATTGTTATTTTAGTACAGAGGTATGATTATTTCCATTTTACAGAAGATGAAGTTGAAGAGGTGTAATGATTTCTTAAGGTCACAATGAGGTTAGTCAGTAGGTGAGCTTTAGTTTTATTTTTTCCTTCTAATTATACTTCTTTTTAGTCAACAGCTACTCAATTTCATTTTCCTCAAATTTTTCAATGGAACTGTTTTCTGTGACATTTGCAGTTATAAAATACTTTTAATCACTGTATGAAAGCTCTTTGGAGCCAAAAAAATCTATGGTGACCCTCACCACACCCTTTGAAGTATACTTAAATCCTCTTTTGAGTAAATGAAAGATGTGGAAGCTTAAGTGGAACAATTAGCATCAAAATGAGTCATCAGTGTCAGAAAATAAAATATCTAAGCCCTGACTCTCACTTCCTGCTTTGATGATCAGCTACTTCCCTTACTGAAGATGTTGTAAGCTCCTACATTCAGAATACTTCTGAGATACACATGTCAACATCAATCTCCACCCACTTCTCCTACCCCATAAATATTGTAATTTTATGATCACAAAAGCTTCCAAAATCTCTTTTCTAGACCCTTCTAGTCTTTTGGTTTTTGGGGGCAATAACAAGAAGAAAAGACTGGCCAACTGTTTCTTCTGGAAGGCATTATCACCGAAGCTTTTCAAACATCACTTTAATCTTGTGTCACCCTGAGCTTACACTAAGAAGGCACAGAAATCATTTTCTAGAATGTTTTTCTATCTTTTTCAAATTTTTAGTTATTTTTTTTAGGGTGCACTTTTCATGTACTACAAACTTCTCTTAACTTTAAGCTGGAGTACAATGTACCCCATTACCACAGAAATGCCTTCAACTACGGTTTCCTGTCCACATCGTCTAAATAAGATAGTTAAGTGCAGTAAACAACTAAAAGATGAAGTACTGGTTATAACGATTCACTAAAAAGCCCCAGTGACTCCCAGAACAATATTCAACTTGTAAAGTGTGTGGGGAGGTGGATGTGTAGGGAGGGGTGGGGCGTTTGCTGGCAAGAAACGGATTACTCTAACCACACCGAAGGGCACGGTGAACCACCCTAAGGTAACTTAGCACCCAAAGGTAACTCAGACAGGGCTTAACGCTTCCGAAATGGCCCACCTCAAGGCCAGGTTCCCTCGAACCAGCCACCTTAAACAGCACTTCCCCGGCCCCGCGGAAGCACACCTACCCTCTGGTCAACCGAATAATATCCCCCGGCTGTATGAGAGTGCCGATCTCATCCCACACGGAAATGGTGATGCTGCCCGTTTTGTCTGCTACTTTGCACGATCTCACTTCATGGCCGTCTTTGGTTTTGGTCACTCGTCCTGTGAGGATGCAGAAATCGAGAGGCACGGATTAGAAAATAGTGTGGCAGGGCTTCCAGACGGCTCTTAATGCCACCTGGCCCAGGGAACTCGAGAGGCGGCCCCTGGCGCAGGTGGCACCCGAGGCCCAGGTGGGAGCCGCGGAGCCACATGGGGGGAGGGGAGAGGGGGAGGGGCGGGCTCCCAGCGGCCGCGCCCTCCTGCCCCGGACGCTCAGGGACGTCGGAGCGAACTGCGGGCTCCACTTACCTATCTCCAAGACAATAAAGACGACATTTAAGTTTTTCAGTCCGGGCTTAATATCTTTTATAAAAAGAGGTGGGTCCTTGACCCCGTTCATATTTGACGCAGGTGCAGCTACGGCAGCGGAGACGCGGCGGGCAGGGAGCGGGACCCGGCTTCCCACCCTCCGGGGCCGGGGACCAGGGCGAGGGGAGACCTCGAGCCAGGTAGCGAGGAAAGGGGCGGGAAGCAGCTACACAGGGGCCTGGGGGCGCGGAGCTTGGGAAAAGAAAGGGGGCGGGGGCGCCCTCAAGTTTAAAAGAAAAAAAAACAAACCGGCCGGCACACCAACCCCTCTCCCGAGGGGAAGGAAGGAAAGCCAGCCAAGGGCCGCTTCGGATAAAAGTTTAAAAAGGCAGCCTCTGCCCTGAGTCCCGTTCACACACACAAGGGCGCGCACCCACTCTGTCCCGGGCTTCGGGAAGAGAACAGGCTACGACCGTGGACCAGGAGCAGAGAAAAGGCGACCGCGCACGCAGCTGCCCACACACCGACTGCCGACCGCGCTCGTGCGCCGCCTGCACCCAAGGCCGCCCCGCCCCGCCCCTTGTGGCGTCACGAGGCGTCGGCGCGCCTGCGGCCCCGCCCGCACAGCATGGGAGTTGGGAACGGAAGGGGCGGGGCAACGGGTCGGCAACGCCTGCGCAACCTCTAAGCCCCGCCCCCTGCCTGCCAATCCGCTCTCGGCCCCGCCCCGCCTCTCTTTGTGACTCAGCTCTGCCTTGGCCACTTAGATGATGGGTTTACTGTTCAACTTGAGAATATCTTAGCTTGTATCTCGCGGAGTGGTTGTAGTTAGGATCCAGTGGGTACGTTAAAAAGTACAGTCAAGTTGCGGTTGGGGTCAGGGGTGCGGCCAGGGTGGCTGGGCGGAGGTGAAGGAACTTCAGGACCCAAGGGAAACAGGGAGATCAACTCAAGCTCTTCATTTTAAACTTCAAAACAAAACAATAAAAACTTCACTTTCATCGATTGTTTTCAACGTAGGCATATTTAAGTTGAGCTAGAAAACTTAGTTTCCTGACGGTCACCTAGCAGCCAGCAGGATTCTCAACTCTGGACTGACCAGGCCTAGCACCTTTTACTCTATAAGACAAAGCTGGTTATAAGACAAGTAGATCGATACCTTTGCGAGCCTCTCACAGTTCTTTACCCTTCCCCTGTCAAGTCGCATGCCTTCCTCACTTTGTTGATTTTCCATTCACGTTAACAACCACCACCCCCCTTTTTTAATTCAATTCTAACCCTTGGAGACCCCATAGTTTTTGTGTCTCCTTGGGGGTGCTGCGGGCTGGTGACAAACACACCAGCCATTCTGTGGGAGAAAGATGAGGCTGCTCTCAGATACAGCCTTGGGAACCCACGGAGGCAGCTCACTGTGAGTGGGAAGGATTCCTTGGCAGTTTGTTGGTTGTTACTGGCTGCAGGATCCAGGGTTCCAGCCCGTGTCTGAAAGAAGGATGAGATAGTTGACTCCGGCAACTCTGTGGACAGTGCTACTCAGTCCAAGAGTCACTATGAGTCAGAAACACCTGGAAGGCTGTGAATTGGGGGTTGGGTTTTTATATATCTAAAAGGAAGTATCCAGGTATCAGAATGGGAGGCAAACTTACAAACAAAAGTAAACATGAATAAAGCCTTGAAATGAGTCCCTCTTTGGTGAGTGCTGGTTGCGAACCCGTGTTTTCGGAGTATGAAGCTCGGCTGTAGTCAAGGAGCTAGCATCTATCCAAACTGGGTTTTGAATCAAGGCAATTCATCCACACAGCCTCCCAGTTCTACAGGGCCATTCTTTGACTTCAATTGTAACCCTGGAATTAAAAGGATTGAGAACAGACTGAAAAAAATAAAGTAGAAGCAGTAGGATATATTTGGAGGACTTTAATGGAATCATCCAGTTAATTATTTGTGATGGTAACAGAAGTGCTGGGAAGTGTGTCAGAGAATTTGCATGTCAGAAGCTTTAATTATCCTTTCTGAATATTTTTAGATCAACCACCACTTCCCAAACATCTGCAAACAAGCGGCAAAGATGTATTACAGCCCGAGAAAAGAGTTTCAGAAATAATCACAACATGAGCAGGAGAGTCAAGGCAGTCTTAAGGAAGCAGGAGCTTCCAATCCATGGACATAAGGCCTCAAAGACAGTGATATAATGGTGGAAAGTGGCACAAAATAACTTGATTTCAACACTAAACGAAATAAATGAGGAAACTTGCAAATTATTGGAGGAAGTAGCACCCAAGTGACCGCAAGCTTCCCAGAGACCCAGTGCGGAAGGAATTCCCTCAATCAAAGCTCCCATCCTATCATGGGTCTTGGGAAAGACTCGATACTTGAATTAAATTGCTCTCAGGGTCTTAATCCTCAACACAGGCCAAATACATTCTCACAGGAGCAATGTTTAAAATGAACGTTCCAGAGAGGAAAAAAAGTTTTGAAGATGTATACAAAGAAATGACAATAGTCAGGAAACCAATTGAGAATGTTGATCAGAGTTGTGGCCGGGAGTTTGGGCAAAGTTAGCCACTCTCTCAACTTTCAGTCATTTATTCCTCCCGCCCCCACCCCACCCCTCAAAATCAGATAATCTGATAGACCTGCTCAGGCTAACGATATTGACATTTGATAAAATGGACCTTTACTCATTGCCATCTAGGGGAACCCAACGCACAGGGACCCTCAAACCGATGAGAACGGATGGGTTCACAAGGTTGTAGCTCTGTGCAGTGACTGATGGGTTCAGCCAAGCCACCTGCTTAACAAAGGTGCCACCAGGAATCCTCCAAGTGGAAGGAGACACACAAAACCAAGCCCCACAAAGGCAGAGGTGAGTGCTCAAAGCAGTAGCCCAGAGTTCCCTTGCCCCACAGAGCACAAGTCAGAAGAAACAGCTGACGTCCTTCCTTTCCAACTCAGCAGTCCTCAGACAGGAAATGGGGAGGCAAGGCTTTCACAGGGACCAGTGTTGGAGGCAGCCTTAAGAAGCAAGGTTGGGTGGGCAGGACAAGAACTGTTCAAACCAGGGTACTTGGTTTCACCGCCCCCCAGCTCATTCTACAAGGGTGGTTGTTTACAGGCAAACAAACGACAGAAAGAGTGGCCAGTACAACAGGTATTACCACCCAGATCATTACATTATCCGGGAAATAACCAAAGCAAGCAGCAACAACCGAGCAACTTGGCCAGCTCAGCTAGGTCAATAATTATATTACTGCTTCTTGAATATCCTTTGTTTATTAAAAAGACAATATTATGTCTTCTTCCTTCTAAGACTATGGTGCTTCAGACCTTTTCATTTTTCAAAGCCCGACGATAAAATGATTCTAAGATGATGAACTCTTCTATTCTGTGTTCGGAACCTCAACCCCACCACTCCACATCAAGAATATGTAACTTCGTAAGAGCCCAGGGTACTACAAAAGGGCATCCCCAAACCCAAACCAAACTCACTGCCATCAAGTTTATGTCGACTCATAGCGACCCCGCAGGACAGGGGGAAACTGCCACGGTGCTTTTCTGAGACTATAACTCTTTATGGGAGTACAAAGTCCCATCTTTCCTCATTGGAGTGGCTGGTGGTTTTGAACTGTGGACCATTGTGAGTCACTGCCCAACGAGTAACCACTACACCACCAAGGCTCCTCTCAGGGTATGCACAAAAGCTAATAAATGACTTTCTTGTTACCAGAGTTTTTGTGTTGATAAAGATATTCCTGTAAATTATATCTCCATCGCCCAGGACTCAGGCTTTCCCCTGGGTTGTGGTTTCTGGGATGACCAAGGTCATTTTCACTTTCTTTACACTGCCCATCGATTCCTAAAAATGACAGCCTTAACAAAACAGTTTTCCAAGTACTGTTTGATCCTAGATATAATTGAGTTAGGAAACTTACCATTTTAAAAATTCAATAAGAACCACAAACATTATCTTAAAAAAATGTTTTAACCCAGTGGTTCTCAACCTTCCTAATGCCGCAACCCTTTCATACAGTTCCTCATGTTGTGGTGACCCCCAACCATAAAATTATTTTTGTTCCTACTTCAAAACTGCCATTTTGCTATTGTTATGAATTGGGCAACCCCTGTGAAAGAGTCGTTCAAGCTCCCCAAAGGGGTCACAACCCACAGGTTGAGACCTGCTGTTTTAACCAAAAGATTCCAAAGTTCTTTTCAGTCCTTTTTACCACACAAATCATCACTATAATGGTAAGTGCTACCATGGCAGAATATTGGATATTCCATGAATTGCAAGATAATAAGCAAATGAGTCTAAGAAGAAATACAGCCAGGATGCTCCTTAGCAAAGCGGATGGACAGACTTCAGCCTGCTTACTTTGGCCTTATCGGCAGGAACAGCCAATAGCTGAAAGGGGACGTGATGTTTGGTAAAGCAGAGTCAGAACAAGAGGAACTGTCAAGGAAATGGACTGACTCGAAAGCAAAACAATGAACTCAAATGTACCATCTGTCTGAGATAGCACAGAACTGGACAATGGTAAATTCTATTCTGCAAAAGGCTCCTATGGGTTTGAGCCTACCTACCACCACCACCACCACCACCATTCACTGAGCATTGCTATGTAGGCACTTTACACTTAAATGCACTTTCCACTTACCAATGCATTGCTTAGTACATATGAAACCATTGCTCCCATTTTAGAGGAAGGAATGGCGCTGGGGTTTCAAACAGGCGCATCTGGTTTTAAGGAGCACTGGTGGCATCGTGGGTTCTATGATTTGTGAATTGGGCTGCAAACCACAGTAATTCATTTGGGGCTGTAAATACTCATCTTGTTAACATCTCTGGGGTTTCTTGATCTGTACAATGAAGGGGCTAGCGTATATTATTTGCAAGCATTTTTTCCAACTGGGAGATTCTGTGCATATATGGGAAAAGGTCTTAATTAGAAGTTTATATCGAGGCTCTTCCTGTGTCTTCCTGGTGTGTCTGTGTGTGTACGAGGGCGTGTTATCAGCGGTTTGGACCCACTCCTTGTCCGCTGGGAGAAAGATGAGGTAACCTGCCGGGCACCGATGCGTCGTCTTGGAGCAGTTCTCCTGTGTCCTGCCGGTCTGACTCCATAGTGCTCATTTTGCTTTGGTTTTTCTCTGGTTTTACAGCTTTGCTCTTTAATATATTCTATTTCTTCCTGTGAACAGTGTGTGATGGTTTCTTTTGCTTGACATATGTTTGAGTGGAAGACTTGATCATTCTGATCTGTGTTTTGGTTTCTATATAATAAAAAGCAGTACCCCTT